GGGCAGTGGCGGGTACGGTTTCCGGCGGGGCGGGAGTCCCGGCCACTGCTCGCTCCGCCACCCGTGCTGGGGGCGGCGCTTAAGACCTGCCTAAGCGACGGCTGGGGGCAGGACGATCATAGGGGGCCGGCAGATCTTGTCCCCTTAATAGCACGGTTCTGTTCTATAATTGGGGGCGAGTGGGGTGAGAGCGAGGGGGACACTGAATTCGTGTGTTCCTGCGCGCGCCAGTTCACTGCCCCTTCTCGCTGGCACGTGTGGGTACAGTGTCTGGCTGGGGCTAAGTTCTTTCTGCACCCCTGTGCTGCCCGTGGCCTCAGAGCCAGCCCTTGCGCCTAGTTTGAGGCCCGGGCCCAGCAGTGTTTACAAGACGGCAGGCTTATCCCTCCTCTCCCGGGGGGAATTCAGGGCCTTTGCTCAGCTGTGCTTTCTAGGAGCGCTGAACCCTGGCTTGACCAAACAGCTCGTTTCTGGCCTAGATGCATTAGGAGCAGTCAGGACTGGGAGGGCGTTTGGCGAGGCTGTGGCTTGGGGTAGGGAGCGATGAGCAGGGCTGATTGCGAGGGGTGCTGGGGCAGGCTTGGGTAATCAGTAACCCCTCTGCACACTCTCCCAGAGACAGAGGCCAGTCTAGGCTTGACCCGTGATTTTTCAAGCAAACACGGCCCCTTCCCTCTCTGACCCCAGAGCTCAGAGAGTTTGTCAGTTCAGCCCCAGGCAGTGCGATTTGGGAGATTCCAGCAGATGACAGAGAAAGGGGAGCCTCCCAGGAGCTCAGCTGTACCTACCTGGCCCTTTCAGAGCCACGGAGGTAAACACTGGGTTCTGATGCCTTGGCTGACGTCTGGTTGCCTGGATACATGGACTAGGCTTATCAGCCACTGCAGAAGGGCTCTGTGAGAGACCTCTCCATTGGTGGATGATGCAGATCTCTGCTGCCATCTCTGTAGCCATCAGAGCAGAGGGAAAGAGAGGGACCAAGTCCCATCAGTCCAGAGACAAACCGCATTTTCAGAAGGGAGAAGAAGAGGGACTTAGAGCACTGCAATGCTTCACCTGTCTCGTGCTGCAAGGCCCAACAAGCCCACCTGCTTGTAGGAAGTATTTTTAAAATGCAGATGACATTTGTTCAGTAACAATGCAGTTTACTGAACTGTCCCATTGGCTCCTCACAATGATCTGTGAGGTAAAGGTTCTTGTCCCCTTTTACCCATGAAGCCAAGAGAGGTGAGTGCCACACGGCCACCTGGCTGGTAAATGGCAGAACGAGGGCTTGAACAAGCCCTGCCAACTCAACCCAGGGCGTCCAGTCTGCAGGCTGCCTCATAAAAGCTAAATTAATCTTCTTCACATTCTCCCCCAAGACCGTATTGATTGTTTTCAATTCAGCACTATCAGTTTCTGCCCTTGGGTGGTTCTGTTTTAGCAACCTAGGTTCTGGGATCCCTTACCACTTTAGACCTGTATGCTTCTTCCTAAGAGGCAGAACTGACCCTTGCTTCCTTGTATTTTCTGAGTTTCCACTCATGGCCCAAATTGTGCCATTTTGGGCTGCCTTGAGGGCACTTTGCACAGTAGGTAAATAGGGTGGGGCACTGGGTTTGCCAGGTGCCCTTGGCCAAGTTACTTCCACTTTGGGACTGAGCTCTGTAGCTCCGGCTTTCCAAGCTGCTAGAAGAGAAAAGAAGATGGAAAATCTGAGGACCTCGGCCTGGCAGCTCAGGACCAGAGGCTGCATGGGAGTGTGACTGAGTACCTAACAGAGGTAGTGCCAGTGATTGTCAACTGCACTGTGGCTAAGAATCGCCTGCAAATTTGTTTTAAATGCTAGTCCCTTCATCAGGCCCCAGGGATGCTGACACACAGACCATACTTCAAGAATGCTGCCTGTGCTGTCACTGACTCGGGGTGGGGGTCAGAGATCAGTGGACAAGTCATTTCCTCTCTCTAGGCCTGTTTCCTCTTTAGTATATCTGAAAGTTATGGAGGGGCATGGGGGTGGATAGGATAAAGTAGGTAATAGAAAAAGCAAGGTCGGACAGTGTGCTGTCACTGACTCGGGGTGGGGGTCAGAGATCAGTGGACAAGTCATTTCCTCTCTCTAGGACTGTTTCCTCTTTAGTATATCTGAAAGTTATGGAGGGGCATGGGGGTGGATAGGATAAAGTAGGTAATAGAAAAAGCAAGGTCGGACAGTGGGGGGTACTCTTTTCTTGAAAGGTTGTGTCATACATTGGCACTTGAGCTTGATTCTGTTTTTACGCCATCATCAACACAATGGATCTCAGTGATGGGGGGGCGTTGTCTGTAAGGCTTTGGGGGCAGGGGTGGGGGAGGAGTGGTTCTCAGTCCCAGTGATATGCATTACACTTCCTTTGGAATTTTCTTTCTCTGAATGAAGCGTAAAACTCACCTGAGAACTTGTCAGTGAACAAGCCCAGACCCCACCTCTTGGGCAGGGCGCCACCCTTGAGAGCTCCCAGTCTCCTGCTTAAAGACCCAGTGCCCTTTGATTGGTCACCGCTTCCAGAGCAACCAGTGGAAGCTGGTTAAATTCCTCCAAAGATGTGGGGCCCTCTCTTTTGACCTGTAAAAAACAATGCCTTTGGGCCTGTTTTTTTCCTCTTCTAGGCTGGCAAAGCACACAGGCTAAGTGCTGAGGAGAGGGAACAGCTGCTGCCTAACCTGAGGGCTGTGGGGTGGAACGAGCTAGAGGGCCGCGATGCCATCTTCAAGCAGTTCCATTTCAAAGACTTCAATAGGGTATGGCACCAGAGTGGGGCAGTTTTCTGAGGCTGGGGCTGATGGGATCAGACTCCAGAGCTTGTCTCCTGTAAAGTCCTGTTAGCCAAGACTGACTCTCAGACACTACACTAATTCAGCTTATTTGGACACTGTGCCAGTGGGGAAATTAATTTCCCTAAATAACTGGGAAAGTGTCATCCTTGGGGATTGGAGAATAGGAAGATGGGTCTTGAGCTCTCCCTACCTGGAACTTTTAGAAACAAATCCTCAGAGGAGATGGTTTAAGTAAGAAACAGATGGACATCTGAAGATATTTTAAGATAGCCAAAAGATTGGCCAAGACTATAAACCTCTTGTTTCCACCTTGTTAATGATCCTAGTAACAAGATTTTGTTCCTCTGCAGAAACAACCTCTAACTCACAGCCCAGAGCCAGTGGCAAAATGTCAAGGGGGAAATGATTAAAGTTAGAGGGATTTCCCTGTAGGAAGCTAGTCCATCCTCTTACGTCTACCGTCTAGGCCTTACACTGGCCATAAAAAGGTGCCCAGGAGTCCTTTCTCTCAGAACACTAACCTAGGTCTCACTTCACTTAAATAGGCTTTTGGGTTCATGACAAGAGTGGCCCTGCAGGCTGAGAAACTGGACCACCATCCTGAATGGTTTAACGTGTACAACAAGGTGAGTGATGTCGTGTGCCTCTATTGTGCTCTGCCCCCATCTGAATTCTGAGAACTCCAACTCATTCTGAAGGCCTCTCCATCTTCTTCCTAGAATTAACAAACATCCCTGGGAAATAGTCAGTCTCACTACAAATTAAAGAAATGCAAATTAAACACTTGTGAGATACTTGTGGTTAAAACAGACATTAAGAAGGCAAATCCCAAGAAAGGAGTGGCTGTGGGAATCAAGCACTTAATCATTGTTAATAAAGCTCTAAGTGGCTTTAATCTTTCTGGAAGTATGGAAGAATGAAAAAATGATAAACTAGGACTGAGATACCCATGCAGAGCAAACAGATCAGACTGTCTGCTTAATGAATTGGAAGTCATTAAATGCCTACCCTGTGCCAAGACCTCTGCTGGACTCTGTTTACAGAAACATTAAGGGTAGAAGAGGCTATCTATAAATGGATAGCATGTAGGAGTTGGCATTGGTTTTTGGTTTTGTCTTTAGTTTTTAGGTTGCTCTTGTATTTGGATGTTTTATTTTTATCCTATAGCAGTAGTCACCGTTATTTTTGAAAAACATCAAAGGGAAGATGTAGGAGAAGACAGTTCCGCACTGTTGTTATAGATGTGTCAGGAAAATAGTCCCCAGGAGAGACTGTAGGGAGTGGCTGCTCTTCTGGAGCTTAATGGGGCTGAGCCCAATGGCTGGTGACTCTCTCCTGCTCTTAAGTGAAGTCAGTGGAATCAGCTGGCCCTGAATTTCTGGTTTTGTTTCAGGTCCAAATCACCCTGAGCACTCACGAGTGTGCCGGCCTTTCAGAACGGGACATAAACCTGGCCAGCTTCATCGAACAAGTAGCAGTGTCCATGACATAGACCCTGCCCTTCCTCTTTCACTTCCTCAGGGGAAAGAGGTGACTGAAGTTGGAATCCGGGGAGGGAAGTGGAGAGTCCTTGGCCTCGAGAGTCTGATGCCTCCATGTAGGGGTGAGTCCTTGCTACGGAAAGATGCCAGCGTCACTGCCAGCACTAGAAATTTAGACCTTTTAGCATGCCACTGTCTGCATCCTCGTGGTTGTGTTGTTACACTGATTTGAGTAAGCTCTCTCCTTTCTTTGCGACTTCTAAGCAACAGTAATGATTTTTTCTCCAGGTTGTATCTTCCTCCCTTCCCAAGAAACTGTGATAGACAGTGAAATAAAGTCTTAGAACCCAGGACCCTAAAGTAATCCCCATCCTATGTGACGGAAACACGTGCTTTTATGCCTCAAATAAAACTATTGTATCACTTGGTCTCTGGCTCTAGAACCTTCTTTTCCATGGCTCAATCCAAATTCAACCAATAGGCATTTAAATGAAAGCACTTACTCTGTGTAAGATACTGTTCACTGTACTGGGGAAAGGAAAAGACCAGACCACCCTGCCTTCAATTTTATCATGTAGGGGAATGAAACAGGATGAATTAAGGTAATGCTAGATGGCAGGATAAGAAATTAGCTAAGGGAACATAAAGAAATGATTAATGGTGACAACAGCAAATCTGGAGGCTTTCATTTGAGTTATGCCTCAAAAACCTGAGTAGGATTCTTCAGAGGCAGAGATGGCTGAGGGAGCATCATGAACACAGGTAAGTGTATGTAGGGCATGTGTACTATATGCATAGTGGGATCTAGATCTAGAAAGGCAGTCTGGGCAAATTATCTTCCTGGCAGTGATGGCTAATTTTTGTGTCAACTTGACTGGGCCATGGGGTGCCCAGACATTTGGTCAGACATCCTAGGCGTGTCTCTGAGGGTGTTTCTGGATGAGATTAACATTTGAATCAGTAGACTGAATAAAGCAGTGGGCTTCATCCAATCAGTTAAAGACCTATATAGAACAAAAGGGCTGACCCTCTCCCAAATAAGAGGCATCTCCTCCTGCCTAACCGCCTTGAGCTGGGAGGTTGGTCTTTTCCTGCTTTCAGACTCAAACTGAAATATCCGCTCTTCTTGGGCCTCAACCCTACAGGCCTCCAGACTGGAACTATACCGTCAGCTCTCCTGGGTCTCCAGCTTGCCAACTGCATATCTTGGGACTTGTCAGCCTGCAGAATCACATGAGCCAATTCCTTTTAATAAATCTTTCTTTATGTGCATATTTGTTCTGTTTCTCTGTAGAACCCTGGCTAATATACTGGCCTATCCCATTAGATAAGGAGATTTCTAATCCTGATGGTTTATGTAGTTTCTTAGAATCTTAGCAAAGGTCTCAAGGGGCTTGTCTGCTTTTACTGTACAAGAGAGAAGACACAAGGCACAGCTTAGGAGTTGACAATTTACCACAAAGCATTTAAAGAGCTGGTTTGTACAGGTCAGTTCCCCAGCCAATAACTCAAGGACATAATATTCCTACTGATGTGCCATGACTAGAAGAAGGGGACACTGAGAGCTGTGTCATCTCCATGCCAGTGTGAATACCACACAAATATCATTTTACATATGCCATGACAGAGAAATGGGGAAGCCCTTCTCCCAATAATTCTTACCTATGATTCCTAACCTGAAGTACCACCTAGGTACTAAACTGACTTGCAAATGCCAGGGTCACTTGGAGCAGGCATCTAGCAATGTCACAAACCAGTCAGCTTGGATGGGTCAGTCCTCCAGGAAGGGCCAGAAAAGAGGCAGAGGTTGGTGGTTGAGAAATAAGCATACTGTGGGGCCAGCCCCGTGGCGCACTGCTATAGTGCACCGCTTGGGAGCGCGGTGGCGCTCCCGCCGAGGGTTCGGATCCCACATACAGACCGGTTCCCGCTCACTGGCTGAGCGAGGCGCAGGAGCAACGCCGAGGGTTGCGATCCCGTTGCCGGTCCCGGTCCGGTACGGGCGCGACACTGAGGGTTGCGATCCGTTGCCGGACACGGAAGCTGAAAGCCAAAATGAAAAGCTGGATTACCTGAATGGCAGCCTTCAAATCTTGACCAACCCTTTGGAAAGACTTCTCATCTCTTATTCATAATGCAACAAGATGCCCAACAGTTACATGTGTGAAGATGATCTGAGGAGCTCTATCAGCCCCTAAACCAAATGCAGCCCTTGAAGTCAGTGTCCTTTGGTTAGACAGAGCCACATTCCCTGCTGGCTGGAGACCACCCAGATGGCTCAATCCATCTTGTAAGCAGAAGTGGATGAAGATGGCAGAAAACCTAAGACAGGGCCCTTGCTCTGAGGAATTAATGACCTGAATTCCAGACCTCCCTAAAACAGGCATGGCCACAGTTCCTGGTGTAGAGACCAATCAGCTACCTATGAAAGTGCTTGGAACTTAGCTGCATTGTTGCTTGCCTGTTGGCCCAAACTATAAGTGGGCGCACACAACCATCTCATCACAAGGGGGTGACCTTTCGCCAGCAGTCCATTCAAGTGCCACCATATGTGATCTGTGTGTACGTGCACGCGCAAGGAAACAAATGAACCATCCACAGCGATTACAATTGGGGACATTTAATTATTTAATTGCTTTTCAAGGGATTATTGCTGCAATCAGAAAGGGAGCATTGAGTTGGGAAGGAGGAGGTTAGAGAAGACAGAGGATTTAAAAGAGGCAAGTACCATTTTCCAAGTATAAAACTGATAACGTTAAAAGTGACATGGCAGTATAATCACACGACTACTTATTTCTAACGCAGAAACAACACAACGGTTTTTTTGCAGAGGCCAATGTGACATCTGCTAGCAACATGATACTATCAAGATATTATCTCCACCTCTGCCACAGATTAGGTATTACTACATGCACACGCGCACAAATACACTCAAAGTGAAAAGCCTGCAAAAGTGTTAAGTCAAACTAAGGCTCTTAATCATAACAATTAAAGTGGTTACAGTAGGTCTTTTTGAAAACCACCACTGCCCCTTGGCGCCAATGTTGTCACAGCACAGAGGAAGTGAGTGGCTCAGGAGTCTGGTCCTGGGAGACCAGGACTGGAAGCACTGGCATACTCTAGGGCACATGCTTCTCCATGTTAGCAACCAGCAAGTCACAGTGGTTCCTGCTGGGTGGTTCTGGGTCCCTGGGTCTCCTCCAACAGAATGCAGTAGAGACCCGAGGTGATTCGTGCACAGCTCCAACAACAGCTATTCTATCAAGGAAATGCCCGCCTGTTCAGCAACTGGGAGGAAACATATGACTCCCATGTCCTAAGGATCTCAGCCTCTCCCTCTGACATACACACACACACACACACACACACACACACACACACACATACACACACACAAACATTAACCACTCTTGGAACCCACAGGACACTGCAGAACAAGCTGGAGGAAAACACACACACACATACATACCACACCAACCCTACAATAACATGGCCAGTTATTGGGTAAGAAGTACAGTGCTAAAGAACATGTCAGACAAACATGCTAAGGAGCTTGAGGAAAAGTCTGGTAGTCTTGGCTCTACTGGCCAGCATTCACAGTGGGAGAGGCTAAAGGATACCAGTGTGGAGAGGCTGAATATTCAGGAGTCCCTGAGAAGGGGAAAGGAACAGAACAAAGTTTCTCCTGACTGGTCCTAAGAACCTCCCCTACCCAAACAGAAACCTCAAAGACTGATCCATTTCCCCTAGGGCCTTGGCCAGGAATAGCTCACTGCTCACTGCTGAAGAGGAAGGCACACAAGATGATGTCATTAGAGCAGGACAGCGGCCCAACCTGGACCAGGGCCCCAAGCAAGGGAGAAGAGGGTAGGAAGTGGGTGCAGGGTTTGGTCCTGTCCCTGTACCGCCCTGAGCAACTAGTCTTATGAAGGAATTCCAGGCCCTAGGCCCCAATGGCTGCTTGCCATCATGCTTTCCTATTCCAAAATGTTTATCTCATCTAACTCTGCTCCCTTTTAGCCAAGGCTGAGAGGCGCCCAGTACCTGAGGCTAAACTGACATAGTACCTTTGGAAGCTGAAGAAAGGGGGAAGAGGCAGAAAGCACACACTAATGGTGAGAGAAATTTTTCCTTGCTATGGGGACTCTCTTGCGATCTCTTCACATCCATCTAATGTAAGTCAAGGCAACTTGTGAAGGTGCTTCAAGCTGTTCCTTCAAGCAAACATATTCTCATTACATGATGGCTTCGAGCAGTGGGGGAGGGGACAGCCAACACCACATAACTGAACCTGGGTGCTCATTCTACTCTGGTGCTCAGATAAGTTTAGAAGAGGACCTGCTTTCTGCTCATCCCCCGCCCAGGTGAGGATCCCGATGTGCTCTGACCACTGCCAATCCAGGCAGGCAGCATCATGGCCAGAAAGTCCTAGATTCTCTGGAAACAATGTTCTCTCCCTAGCTCATGGAAACAAGAACAAACCAGTGGGAGCATCCATTCAAACAAGAATCTCCAAAGATGGTGGCAACAAAGTGTCAAATGGGAGTCCACTACAAGCACAGAAGAGGACCAATGGACTACTCCAAACCCCACCTTGGGAGATGGAGAAGATATGCTCGACCACTCCAGTCCTGCATAACAGGAAACAACTGCTTGTTCCATCTGTGCCCAGAAAAAATAAAGTGAGTTGCAATGAAAGTGATTCTAAGAGAGACAGCTAACCTACTCTTGAGAGGAGGGCTGAAAAAGCCTCCTGCTTAGAGTACATCTAATATTCACCTGGGGAAACATCTGTTACATAAATGCTTCCTATCTAACTACCCAAAATATCTGCCTGAGATAACAAAGAAACACTTTTGCTATCTCAAAAACTGTACCCCAGCTTCCCTAAGGAATCAGGACAGGTCAGAACCACCATGCAATGATTAAGTGAAGATGAAAGCCAGAGAGGTTAGTGAAGGAAATGGTTAAAACAGTTCCTAAGGTAACATTTAAAACAAGGGCAAAATCATAACATAATGGGATCCTTCAGGGTCTTCAAATTAAAAACCACAAAAGGATGACAAAAGGAGGAACAAGAATCCTGAGGATCAAGCTGTCTTGTGGTCTATCTTGTTGTCCTCTATGGAGCAAGACCAGATGTCAAAGTTGTATGTGGCCTCTTCCATCTCTTCCATACCCCCAGAACCTTCTGAAGGCCAGAAGCCCCTAGAAAGGATCCAAGCTCAGTGGGGTTTTGGAGAACCATTCATCTGGCTATCTTGGGTTATAATGTCTGTGCTGTACAAACTGTCCAAGTAGGCCGAGCACAATTCCACAACCATGTTCCTGTCAATGGTTGCCTGGGCCATGCCATAGATGGCACCCTGTAAATCCAATCAAGGGTATGGCATTAGTGATGATGGGTGTAGGAACAAGAATAAAACTGTGGCTATGATCCCCTTCTTCACTAGGCCCAGCTTTTCATGTGTGCCGCCCCCACATTCCCACCCCAGGCATCATTCTATCAGAAAAACAGCTGGCACAGTAAAGCTTTCACAGGTACTTTCCAGTCTGCCTTCCTGCATAAAGGAACTATCCTATGAGATTTGCTGTAGAAAACTCTAGAGAAAACACGTTTATTGCCTTCCCTGTGTCAAAATTTTCTTTTCAAATAGACACTACCACCACCCGCTTTTGCACAGCAGTTTCTAATTTATAAGGCACCTTATATATAGTGTGTCTCATTTGAGGCTCCCAACGACCCTGGGAATGGGTGAGGCAGAGATCATTAGCTCCGAGTAACAAATAAAGAGAGGTTTACGGATAACGGGCAGAGGCAGGAACAGACTCCAGGTCATCTGATTCTTTCATACCCTCCATCAACACCTACATTTCCAAGAGAAGAAAAAACTCCATGTGTCCCTACCTTTCCTGTGGTCTTTGCTTTAGGATTCTTCATGATTTGGGTGACAGATTCCCGGATGTCCTTTAAGAACTGTATGGCTACTCGCTTCCGGGTATGTACTAATGTGATGCAGAAATGAATACTACAGGAGAAAAAGATACAAAGAAAGAAAGAGAGATGAACCTTGAAAAAAGAAAAATAATTTCTAAAATAAAGCAGTCCCCAATACAGAAATTTATTGGTTGCCTCTTCATATTATTTCTGATAAATGTAGTCATTCAAGCTGTGCCCAGTCCTGGGAATCAGGGCTCTCAAAATACTTGTGTTGTCATGCATGGACAGCATCAGGGCTTCTCAGCATGATCAAGAATCATCTTAAGAGAATTAACACAGTTGGCTATCCTGTCCCCCACTCCCAACAAACTGTCAATCACTATTCCTTCAACCATGTGACCACCAATGGGACACTTTTATTAGATGATAAGCCCTCATGGAGAAAGGGGTCTTGAAGGACTTCAGAGCAAAGAAGAAACTCTCACTCATCCTGGAGGGAAGATGGGGTTGAAAGGAATTGTGAAGCAAAAAAGGGATAGTCCAGATGGGCTTGGCAATGGCACCAATATGTGACAGGATAAGCTGTACATAGAGGACGATGAACAGACCTACTCAGATGGAGTGGAGTATTCATTTAAAGGCGTCATAGAACATTAGGTTAGAAAAGCATGTTAAAGAAGACAGGAGCAGGCCTCGGGGTTGAAAGGAATTGTGAAGCAAAAAAGGGATAGTCCAGATGGGCTTGGCAATGGCACCAATATGTGACGGGATAAGCTGTACACAGAGGATGATGAACAGACCTACTCAGATGGAGTGGAGTATTTATTTAAAGGCGTCATAGAACATTAGGTTAGAAAAGCATGTTAAAGAAGACAGGAGCAGGCCTGAATGATTAGAGACCCTCTGGAGGGTTTTGAACTAAATATTACACAGATAAATGAGTATTTTATAAGAGCAACCTGATGGCTGGGCACAAGACAAATCAGAGAGTACAAAGGCTAGAGAAAGAGTGGGAAAAAAACCTCATGATGGACCACAGTCTCAGGAAACTGTCACCTAATCTGCCAAAGTTTAAAGCTAATGGCTTTGTTCTTTACATCTAATAATTCCTGTTGGCAAGACAGAAATCCCGTAGATGGAACAGTTGCTATTAAAGTGCTGGGCTGTAGCAGTCAAACTCTGTACTTCAGGTTACCTTGCTATCCAAAGTCTTCAAAAGTCATGGAGCAAAAAAAAGGAAAAAGGTTCTCCAAGCTTACCTGGGTGGGAACTGCAACTGGTTCAAGCTCCACCCCTTAGCGGTCATCAGGTTAAATAGTCGGTAGATGTCGAAATCACGGGAGCCCAGAGCAATGACTGACAATTGGGGATTGCCCAAAACAAAGATGCCTTTGATATTTTCCAGTCTTAAACAAACAAAAAAAGCAGCAAAAAGGAAATTCAGGCACATATATTCCTCTGCTCATCATCTCTTTAATCATCCAAGTCTCCCTTATAATGCAATCTAAACTTTTGGGGCTTTAGTCTTCTCATCTTCTAAAATAAGAAAGCTAGACTGGGATTAGTGGTTCTTAAGGAGACCAGAATCACAAACGAAACATTAAAGATATTCCAGGGCCCAAATCCCATCTAGATCTAGTGAGTCAGAATCACTGGTTTCTAACCTGCCTACCCAACTCTTCAATGATGACATTCCCCTAGAGAAACCCAAGGCATAAAGGATGTACTAAAAAAATTCCTGGAAAAATAATACTTCCATCTCTACAGTTCTAAAAAATCATGTATGTAATCCCTAAAGCAAGAAATGGTACAGCAGTTCTCAACAGATGGCCCCATCAGTACCATATGAGGACCTTTTTCAAATAAGACATGCCTACTGGCAGCTTTCCTTACCCTTCAAGGTTCTGAAAAAGCCTCCCCAATCCCAATGAGAGTGAGAGACAGGCAGGTAATACACTAACAGAGACATCAGACAAAGCATGCAGCCAGTTCCAGCCTTGGCTTAATCTCATCACCCACCCTTCCCCATTCCTTCTGCCCTGTTCTCAATTCTTTTTTATTTCACTGATTCTCCAAGTATGAATCCTGGACCAGTAGAATCAGAATCTCCTGGAAACTCACTAGAAATGGAAATCCTCAGACCCCATCCCAGATCTACTGAATCAGAAATACTAGAAGGCAGGACCAGCAATCTGTGTTTTAACAAGCGTTCCAGGTGATTAGGGTACATGCTCACGTCTGGAAACTACCGTCTTAACCACTAAACTGTACATCAGCACTGGGTAAGAGTGCCAGTTGTTAAAACATCCTTAAGAGATGAGCTGACCTACAAATGAAACCCCTGTCTCTGAAGACCCTCCAAAAGTCACAGCAGAGGAAGGGAGCTTATCCTCCTAGGCCAGCACCACATTCCTAAGCCGCAGTCCAGAACCTTGGTTTCTCAGGAGACGGCAAATGGGCTAGGGCTATGGGTACTTAGCCAGGCAGATGCCCTGAGCCTACTAGCAAGAAAAACAAGAGACAAGGCAGAATCCCAGTCTTCCACACATACTCTGACTTGAGGAAGCGAGTCGTTTTGATGATCTGTTTGGTAGCTTCAACATAGCCGTTCTCACCGAAGTGCATCAAGGCAGCCCAACAAGCTGCACTAATGCCACCAGGCCGTGAGCCTGCGATGTTTGGGGAAGCGTAGATGCCACCCTGCCAATCTGCATCAACGAAGTACTGATAGTTCCTGTACTTCTTGTCACTGTATAACACCACTGAAGAGCCTTTGGGGGCGTAGCCATACTGAGGGGAAGAAGCGGACAGGTAAGAGTGCAATTCTGTCTGGCATACCTTGTCCTCCTGCTTTCTCCATAAAGACGACGAGGAAGCCCCCCAGACAGGCATCTACATGAAGAGGTATTTTGTATTTGACAGCCAGCTAGTTCCAAAAACAAAGAACACAAAAGAATTTCATTTATAGCCCTAGAATAAGAACTTTGTACCACATGAGGAGGTGGGCTATAAACACAAGGCTATTTTGCACTGTCTTCTATATTTTAAAAAATTGACCACTTTTGATATTCTTAACAAAGTTTACCTCTCCAATGTATTTAGCCTTCAAAATAATTCATCTGAAAATGGATATTTATATTTATGTTTAAATATGCATGACCTCAAATTCCTGGCAAAATCAAGCAGGAAATGAGTACCTTAACAAAGTTTACCTCTCCAATGTATTTAGCCTTCCAAATAATTCATCTGAAAATGGATATCTATATTTATGTTTAAATATGCATGACCTCAAATTCCTGGCAAAATCAAGCAGGAAATGAGTACAGCTATGATCTAGGCTATCTCTGGAAAGGGTAAAAGGTCCTGCTTTAGTAACTGCAGGATGGGGAGGAAAGGAAGAGGTGCTGTGGGGCAGTAAGTGGAATACTACCCTCTTGTAGACACGTTCCTAAATGCAGGTTATTTCCCCATCTGAATCAAAAAGTCAATACTATTGCAGAATATGGATGGGGAGGAAAGGAAGAGGTGCTGTGGGGCAGTAAGTGGAATACTACCCTCTTGTAGGCACGTTCCTAAATGCAGGTTATTTCCCCATCTGAATCAAAAAGTCAATACTATTGCAGAATATCCAGTTTAAAAAAAGGCCTCAGCCTTGTATTATCCCTCCCCTAGAGCAAAAACTGGTGACTTTCGGAGGCTTCAAACAGAGCTATGTGGCTTACCCTAGAACTGATGAGAGCTATTCATCACTACTGTGGTCAAACCTAAAATCAAAATCGCTTCTATTTGCCAAGCATTGCATCATTAGATTCTATTTTGAAATCTCAAGTTGACTGCCATAGTAGCCCATTTCTCTCATGTACCTTGGCCACTTCAGGGACAGGATCTATCACACCATGAGGAAACTGTGGGACGGAACAGACAAGCATGGCAGTGTTCCTGGAGATGGCTCTTCTCATTGCCTAGGGATTTAAAGTTTAAAGAAAAATGAGAATTTATGTCACAACTTCTTTTCTGCTGCCAAGAGCAATCTGGGCTGCTGGCTTAGAGTTCCAGTTCCACTAGTGCACCCTCCTTCCCCACTCCAACCTGAGAGAAGACTGCTTCCCTACCATGGTGTCAGGGTACAAACAAGTCCAGATAGGCCCATTTGGGGAAAACAGTCTGAGAGCACAACATGAGAACAATATGATCACTGTGGGGGTGAAAACAATATTGAACTAAGAGGCATAAGAGCCAAATGTGAGTCCCAGCCCCATTACCTTCTAGCAGTGAACCCTGAGTAGACTACTTAACCTCACGCAGTCTATTTCCTCATCTGTGAATTGCACTAATGTAACAGCTTCGACGCCCTCCCTGGACCGTCATAAGGCTCAAATGTGATCCTGATAGCACTTGGAAACTAGAAAAATCTATACAAATGTGAGGCATAAAAAAAATTACTATTATAACAACAGTGGTACTAATTCAGTCCAATCAAAACCACAGTGAAAGTCCTGGGGCAAGTTAGTCTATGCACATTTTACAAATAGAGAAAAGAAAGGAAAGTGATGGTGTTAAAAGCAAAACCCAGGTCTTTAAAGTTTCAAGTGAAGGAATAGATCGTCTCCCTTTCATAACTCATGAATCTGTGAAAAGACTGAAGCTGCAGTCACCACTGCCAATGGCAGTTTTTGGTATTCTGGCTACTACAGCAAAGGTATCAGAGCCCATCTAAGTGTGACTGGAAAAAGCTAGTCAATGAGCCACACTTGCTGCTTCTCACAGCTCAGGACAGGCAGCGGCCTCCCCGAGGAACTCACCCGCACATCCACTTCCATCACCTTGGTCAGTGGGACCCACACCATCTTCATCCCAAAATAACTGGCTGCTTTGTTAAATGCAGCATGGGCACTTTGGGGAGCCACACTAGGGAAAGGGAAGAGAATAATGAAATTCAGATCAAAACAGGATACAAGAGAGAACACAGTTAGCAGCTAATCTAAATCACTAGGAATAAATCTCTGATTTTTTTCCTCAAATTATTTTAAGTGTTTATGTTGTTTTACTTTTCTTTTTAAGCACAAACAAAAAGAGACCAACTGATACTCTGTAAAAATCTTCTCCCTGCTATTTAGGGAATCATTTTGGCAATATGAAGAAGAACTCAGAAGTAATCCCACATGGAGGGATCCAAAGCATAAATTAGGGCCGAAAGGTCAAAGTTAAGGAACAGGATTTGGTACAGAGCAATGTGAAGTAGAGCTTTTCTGTGGTTGGCTATCCAAAGACAGGTACCTCATGAGAAGCAAGCTTCTTGACACAACACATGTTCAAGCAGAAATGTAAGACTGCTTGGCAAGGATGTTAAAGCAGCGGTCAAGCATCAGATCAGTGGTCCTTTTCAACTCTGAAAGACCATGAACCTAAAAGAAACTAATCCCCATTTCTCCTACACATTTGGAAGTAGTATTTCAAATAGTGCTGAAAGAGGAAACAGAGTCATAGGTAAATATTTGCTTTCAGACTTTCCTCAATTACTCCACTCTTACGACTAACCTGTTCCCTTTAATTTCTATTACTGAGTAAGTACCAAGCTCTGAAGATTTATGTATGAAGAAAGGCAGCCTGATTTATTATTCTCTTAGGCTAAGTATAAATCACAGCACGAGACCAAGTGCAACAAAACCTCTTTAGTCACTAACACTTGTGGGTAAAACATTAATCCCAAAGATTCAGTATAAACACTGTACGAGGAGAGGGTCTAGAGAAAACTATGCAATCAAACATCCAAATTATGTCCATGGGTGGCAATGTAGGAAAATCTCAAAAAGACATAAAAAAATTTTTCTTCCCAGATAACAGCCCTCAGACTGAAATTTTCCTAGTGAGCACCCCAAGGCAGTCTATAATACTTAAGTAATTTTACTGAACTAAAAAAGTAGAGACCTTTCCTTAGGCTCCAGATAATTTACTATAAACATCACAGGATTCAGAGATGTAGTCCTCTGTCACTTTTGGAAAAAAGATCTCATTCTTGCTGGTAAGATATACCATGTATAAACTTGGGGGGCTGGGAATAACCTTTCAAATAACTGGCTGATCAATTTAGAATTTTGCCAAATGTGAGAGGATAAGGGTAGAGTGGTTGGGTCAGGTCAGGGGGAAACAGGACTAGAATTCCCAGAAGAAGAGAAGAGGCAGGAAAGTAGATCATCATCAGGCTCAGTTTCATACAGCAGTACTCCAAACAGACAAATCTAAAAGGGGGAAAAAACAGCCACGCATACGTACATTTCTGGAGTTTTGATTCCCTTCTCTAAGGCAAGGTCTCGATAAGCTTTGCAGGCCAACAGTATGCTTTCTGTTCCTCCAGAAGTCACCTATAATAAAGAAGAGATGCCATCTCTGGGAGGAAGTTAGGGACAGATATCAGCATGCACTTCCTGCCCTGATCTTGACAATATTTCATGCAGAAACAGATAAGGACTTGGATGTACGCTACAGGGCTGATACTATACACAGCAGATAAAACTGCTATGTCTTCCAGAAGAAAAATTTGGCTTTGTTGGCTAAGCCCAATCTTAATTCAAGAGAAGAAATGAAAACTACTAAATAAGTATGGGCAGAAGCTCAGTACATTCTGGACAAATGTACATTTGCCCAGATCACACCTGTTCGCAATCCACTTACATTTCCATATTAATTTGTCCATTTTCAGATAGAATAGGGCATTTTATGCCATTCAAAAGCATCAGAACTATTGATTTTAATTTAAATTTTCAATGCCTGTTGAAGAATGTGAAATTGTGAAGTTACAATTCTAGTAAATTGTGCAATCATTAGAAAATCAAGAAGAGACATTCAAACTTCCCAAAGTGAACTTGTGATTTTGACAAATTTGAAAGATTGAGAAAAGCAGAAGTTTCTACTTAGATAGAAGTTGGGTGCCTTACCTATCTGAAATAAAAACAAAAATCCTAATGTTTTTAAATAAAATAAAATGTTTTCCTGAAGTCAGGCCTAGCCCCTCTGATAGATGAATTCCTTTACCAGAGTTCAAACAAAAAGATGCAGAGGTCTTTTCATTCATCCTATTTTCCTCGCTGGACTACAAATTAATGAAGGTGGGGCCCAATCTGTTCGTGACAATATTCCTAGCACCCAGCCTAGTAGCTGATGCCCAACAGACCCTCAATGGACATTTCCTGATGCCTGACTTGACTCTTAGTAAACTGTGACTAACACAGGTATGTCATAGCCACTTTACTATCTTTGGATAATATCTGAGAATAATTAATTTCAAAACAAACAAAAAGACATAACACTGAGCTAGTTGTACATCTTCTTAGATTTACCATCTCTGAAGACTCATACAATCTTACACAGACTTTTCATTTTACAGGTAAGGAAACTGAGTCCCTGAGAGATTAAAGTGATTCACTCAATGTTATACACTAGCATCTGTTGATAAAAAGTAAAACTTTCTATGTTTGGTATTTGGTGTAGCTTAATATGAGATGGAATGAGAGAAGGTGATTATTGAACTTTCCTAAAATAATATCCACATAAAGTACAAAAATACCATTGTACCCAAACCTAGTGGTCAGGAGTTAACATGGAAAGTTAGCTGAGAAAAGTTAAGTGATTTTTTGACTCAGAAAATCTTCATGAAACATGTGCCCATCATCCACAAAACAGTGCATTAAACTTGGGCATGGCACACTTATTTGCAGGTCTCTGCACTGCTGTGCTGGAGAAGACAAGTGCTTTACATTTGAGGTCAGCTCTGCAAATCAGCAGCATGTCCTGTGGCTTAGCATAATACCTCAGAAAGTCACATGAGGAGTCAAACCAGCAAAGTCCAAGTCTCTAGTGTGTCAATTTCTTAGTAATGTCCAGCAATGACCTAAGAAAAGATATTCCCAAATTCCTAGTCACCCTCTTCAAGTATCCTATTTTTAGTCCAATAACTAATCAAATCAACATCATTATTTGTTAGGCAAACACTAGTATACTTTTAATTTTAAAAGCAAGAATACCTACATTCTGCTTCTAATTTTTATTTCTGATCCACAAGTTCTGTGTTTGAACCTGTTACTCTCTCAGAAATTTAATTGTGATGTAAGGAAATGGAGGCCTCGGTAACTACTTGTTAACGTTATTCAACTTCTTTCAGCATGTATGAAAACTCTCACTCTAACATATGATATGTATTTCAGAAAACAAGAGTAGAACATGACCTACTTGGAAAGTTTTCTTTCAGACGCTGTTTGGACCTGATGGCATTTGCACAAGCCAAGAACGTTTCACAAGGCAACCTAACGTCTTTTAGAATATGAAGTCACCTCTCGTCCATTTTAACTGAGACAAATGAAGTTAATAAAATGAAAGACAGTTTAAGGTTGAAGAACAAAGAACAAGAACAGCTTAAGACCCTTAATTGAGAATCATCGAAAGACTGCTTAGGCATTTGGCCTTGTCTTCTTGCTTCCCACCCTCTGAACACTGAACTCTTTCTTCACCAAAAGCAGCTCATCAAGCGAGAGATAAAGAGATACACAGAGACAGACAGACAGACAGACAGACAGAGTGACTAGTGGGGAGAAGGGAAGACGTAAAGGGAGAAGGGAAGACGTAAAGGGAGAAGGGAAAACATAAAGAGAGAAGGAAAGAAGGGGAGACATAAAGGGAGGGACAGAAGCAAGAGAGAGAGACACTCATAATACCAGAGCTATCAGTCATCTTATAAAAGTCTAAATATTAGGAGAGACTGTGAATCAGACTGTCCTTCTCCTGATCCCTGGCATATCCACTAAAGATGATTGTAATGTGAGAGAGATGGTTTAAATGCAGCAATGAAAAAACCCCTAGGGTTTTTTAAATAGGTAGACGTAGTAGTTACACAGCATTGTGAATAGAATTAATTCCATGCAATTATATGTTTAAAAATGTTTAAAATGGCAATCCTTACATTATATATGTGCTACCACACACACACACACACACACAAATACACACACACGCAATCAAAAACAAAAAAGAAAAAGAAAAAAACCCTAGAGTTGGACTTCTGGGTTAAGATGGAAAACTGAAATTACTTCACAGATTTTCTCTAATACACACACACGCAATCAAAAACAAAAAAGAAAAAGAAAACAACCCTAGAGTTGGACTTCTGGGTTAAGATGGAAAACTGAAATTACTTCACAGATTTTCTCTCCCCCAATGTCTGAAAAAATGAGCAAAAAAAAGCAGTGAAAATCTGCAATACCAACAACCAAACAGGAAAGAGAGATAACTTAATGCAATACACTTCAAATACTGGCAGTCAAAAAAAAAAGAGAAAGAAAAAGCACAGCAGGAAGCAGAGGTACAGCAAAATGCAGTTCCTAATCTGCTCTGAAAATTCTACTGGGGAGTCAGCAAAATCCTGAGAATTCTCATTAATACCTCCCAAATCTTCAGAGAAGTAAGCAGAGGGGGTTTCCTTATCTTCTTCTTCTGATCAGTGAGTGGTAAGACATGGCTGCTAGGGAGAAACGAGCAAAATGCGGAGAGAGAACATCAGGAGTGACTAGAGTATAGACTTCAGGGATACAAGATGAATTAAAGAAATAATCAAAGCTCAAAGGGAATATATCACTCTCTTCCATCTAGGCAGAGTGAACTCCAATAGGTAACTTTTAACAGAATCTCAGAACAGACCCAGATATTCTAATACAGACAGAACAAAGCTTTGGCTGAGCACTGCTCCCAACCAAATGGTCTCAGACAAGAAGTCATCCACTGTGCATCAGAACAAATGGAAGGTCTGAGGAGAGCCACCCCAGGATGAGCCAAGATGAAAGAAAATAGCATGGCAACCATACAAACATCCTAAAAAAGGAGGGGAAGGAGGTAGTATGTAGCATGCAAAATAAAAGCCAACTCAGAAGGAAACAAGCTAAGGAACAGAAGGAAATTCCTTATAACTCTTTCTCACTAGGACAATAGCATAAGAACATGAATTCAAGAAAACAAAGAGTTCAAAGACTGGACGATCAAACAACAGAATGAGACTACAGACCTAAAAAAACAAAGTAGCAAAGAGCTCCAATATAGAACTAATAAATACATTAGGAACAGCAAGGAACGGAATCAACACTATTCAAATAAAAATACTGACTCGGAAGGAAAGGTTTGAGATAAATTTAGTGAATCCAGATAAAAAAAGGTAGAGATTGAAAGATCAGTGCCACTCCACACTGGGAAAACGAAATAAAAATACTGACTCGGAAGGAAAGGTTTGAGATAAATTCAGTGAATCCAGATAAAAAAAGGTAGAGATTGAAAGATCAGTGCCACTCCACACTGGGAAAACTGTTCATCTGGCCAGTCAGAGACAACCAAAAGGCTTTAGAGAATGATTAGGAAGGCTGGAAATCTGTGAAATCATATGAACAGCTGAGTAATCTAGAAAAAATGTGAGGAAGGGAAAATTCAGGGGAAAGGGGCTTTCAAATATACAAATGTCTGTCACAGGGAAAAAAAAACAATTGTAGAACATCTATTTCCAGCAATATAGATTATATACCTTAAGCAACCCTCTTAACTAAAATAACTACAAAGTTTGATAAAACACTCTTAAAATTTTTTTTTACATCTATCACTGAGCTAACATAAAGAAATATACTAAACCTTCAAACAAAGCAAAATCAAGAATCCTGCAAGACAGGTGAGTGCCAAAGCTAGCTTTCATCCTAAGGGTGGTGCCAACCCCTGGAGACCTCCAGCTCCCACATTAACAAATGCACAGAATATTAACAAGGAGATGAATTTAGGGCCTGCCCAAGTAAGGAGGTCTGGTAGAAGATGGTTGAAAAAACCCACACAATCTTAGGTGTACAAGAAAGAAACCCCACTAGCGCAGAAGAGGATAAGAAGAAAAATTGCTTTTTTCAACCCTGATGCTTAGGTCAAGAAAAATAAGAATCTCTCGAGAATATATATAACAAGACAGCTTTTATGTGAGTTTCTGGTCTGAATTCACACTACCTCCACAGTACAGAATGACAAGCTGAAAATTTGACTTAAGCTGGTTCCAATGTGGTGGCAATCCCTAGCAACTCTCCATCAACTGGCAAAAGGAATTACATATCTTCTCTGGAAGAATTTAATTTCAATCTAGGCCTCAAAGAATCTCTATAAATTAAGTTCCCAGAAAAGTGAGGGGCTCATATGGTTTAAAACAAATCACAAATATAAGGATGAGACACCATGCATCAAATGAGCAGAATCATACAGGTTAGGCTCATTGATATTAGAATTATCAGACACAGAATATGAAATATTTATGTGCAGTATATTTAAATAAACAAAATATAAGCCAAGGAAAGGGATTAAAAAGAACCAAACAGATTGGGGTGGGAAAAACCCAGAATGTTCAAGAATAAAAAATACAGTAAATAAAACTTAAAAGCCCAATGCAAGCACTAAAGAGTAGATCAGATACCACTGAAGAGGGAATTATTAAAACCCTTCTAATTGTCGCCCAGCTCCAACAATTTTCAACTCATAGCCAATCTTTCATCTTTCAAACAGCTTCCCCAGCAACCATTGCTACTGAGAGTATCAGTTGTTCTAACAGTTATACCTTTACATGTTATCTATTTTCTCTAGCAGCTCTTAAACACCAATTAGACGTGTGTTAGCCCTTCTCACTGTATCCTTCATGTCTCTTAACCTCTCTTTTCTACTTTCTATTTCTTTGACTCTCTGAATTGCATTCTAGTTAATTTTTTTGGATTTGTCTTGTTCCATAAGTGGGCTTTGGAACCATGTAAATATTTTACACAGTTTTAATTGAACCACAGCTCTTTGAAAAAATGGCTGAATCTAGGTCTGGAGTAGGAAATGTATAAGGCAAGACTGGAATATTTTGTCAAAAAAAAAAAAACATGGGAAAAAAGGAAGCTTTCAAAGACTACTTGGGTCATGTAAAAGGACTCAGGAGCCAAAATGATGATGCTCCCACTGGCCAAAGATGAAGTAACTTGAGCATCGATATGAGTAACAACTACAATGGAATGAAGCACACACAGTGTTCTATAATTTATCCACTCTACTGTTGATAGACATATGAACTATTTCCAGCTTTTAGCTATCATGAATAATGCTGCTACGACATTCACATACGTATGTCCTGATACACCTGTTCTAATTACTCTAGGGTATATCCTGAGAAGCAGAATTTCTGGGTCAGAAGATATGTGTATCTTCAAGTTTCCCAGGAAAGACCAAGCTGTTTTGTGGCTGTTTCCCCTATGATCTCTTAAAGTTCATAAAGAGTCTAATGGCACAGGAGAATACCTACCTACTATATCATCATGTCCCCTCTGTAAGTCACCCCATTCATCTAAATACCATAAGAAAATCTACTGCTGCATTATGGTCGGTTCAGTTTTTAACAGTTTCAAAATTTTGTTCTGAAAACGAATGCCAGGAATACCACTTTTGCTAGCTACACTTAATATTTGAACATGTTGATTTTCATGGTGCCAACATATTAAAACAAACAAAACAAAAAACAGTTTGCTGGAAAACAAAAAAGAAACTAATTATAAAATGTTCTTTACTTCAGATGGGCCCTCCACTAATTAAATTTGCAGACTTTATAATGATTGTAAAGGATCTGATAGGATTGGTACCTCTAGGTTACCATTACAGCATACTGTTAAATCTATCTATCCTACATAAGCTGAAATTTAGTTTTGTCTAGAGTAGGCAATGTCGGTTTGTAGTGACAAATCTAGACAGAAGTTTATCCATTACAGTTTAGGAAAACTAACAACTATCTACTTGAAAGAACTGGTGAAACAAGAAATCCTCATGTGTGTCTTTAAATATAATGATACTCCACTTTCTTTATTCCTAATACCAACTAAATGAGATTCAGCTTACAGCAAAATAGTAAACTTCCAGCTCAGGTGAAACAAGAAGTATATCAAAAAGACTACTATATGGTTCAGCAAAATTATACATAGATAAATGGGTGGGTAAGTAGGTGTGAGTAGGTGGGTGAGGAAAGAGGGAGGGAGGGAGAGAGGGAGGGAAGGAAAGGAGAGATGTGGTAAAATATTCATATTTAGTGAATCTAGGGTGTTCTTTAAACTATCCTAGCAGCTTTATGTAGGTTTAAAGTTTTTCAAAATAAAAAGGTGAAGAGAAAAAATATCTAGAAGAATATATACCAAAATGTTAATACTCTATGGATTACAAAATTACAAGTAACATTTTAAAATTGCAGTTAATCTGGATCTTTCTATAATGATCACATATTACTTGTGTAGTAAAATATTTTTAATGAATTCTATCTTTAAAAAACAAGACTGTTGGAAGCCACTTGCATATACTTACACATCCACAGGAATCTGGTCCCCCATTGAACAGGGAACAAGTTATCCTCACAATTTCTGCCTCTATCTTACGAAGTCCTGGGAAGATATCTGGATGCAATGGGTTACTCCATGCAAAATCTCCATAAGCCTATAAAGAAAGGCAAGCAGATATGAAATAAGACTATTACGGTGTATATGACAAATAATCATGCACTAAATGAAAGTGTCTAGGTATTAGGCACAACACTAGGAACCAGAAAAAAGGGTAAGATATGTTCTTCAACCTAAAGAAGATCAAAATATAAATCATAATTTCCTGTACTACCTGAGTATCAAATCACATGACTTAAGATGTGAAGGAGACAGCAAATAATTTTACAATGTGGTAAGAGAAAAAGTATAAATGTAGTAAAAAACATACAGACTATAACACCAGACAACCCAGTTTGAAGTCTTAGCTTTGCCTATCACTTTCGCTGTGTAGGTCAAATAACCTCTCTGAGGCCCAGTTTTTTCATATGCAAAGGAAGTTATGGTACCTAACTTTTAGGGTTCCAGCAATAATTAAATAACATAATGCTTGCAAAGCATTTAAGAGTATCTGGCACAAAGCAGTTATTGCTATTGAATACAACACCAGATTTATGTACATAGTGCTAAGGGACCCTGAAGAGGGAATAACTAATATCCTGAGTGGTCTGGAAATGTCGGTTGAGTGGAACCTTGAGAGATGAATAGGAATTCATCATTTGGAACAGGTGGAATGAATGAGGGGAAGAAAACAATGATAACAGCATGACATCTTTAATACAGAGAAAAGGCAGGATTAGTGTTTACATGGGAAAGTAATAGGAGAAGTTAAAAAAAGTAGGTGGGAGCTGGCTTATGAAGGAACTTGTATTCTCTGCTCCATAAGAAGCTTGCGTTTCATCTGACAGATAACATGAAGCTACTGAAAGATTTTAATCATAGAACTAAGATCAGAGCATTATGACAAGACTTAGCTAAACAAAACAGTAATACTTAGTAAGGTGTGAGCAGTTTCATAATTATAATAATCAAACACAAAAACCCAGATCATCAGTACAACCCCAATTTTATATGACGAAGTGGGGTTTCGAAAGTAAATTTGATCAGAAATGAAAGAAACCAAAGGCAATTCTAAAGACAGCAAAGAATGAGAACTCTTTAAAGTATAAGTGAGACTATTGCTCATCTCAGGTCATGCGATTTGATATTCGGGTAATACAGGGCATTATGACTAAGTTTCCGCACCTTGTCTCTTCTTACCAAACAAAATCTGTTTAACCACTAATAATTTCAAATAACAGGACTACATTTCCAAGTAACCTGCCTTCTTCTATACAGGGCAACTACTGGTCTGGAAACATAAATAACATTTTACTTTTTTACAGATTAAAGATGTTTTTGACAATATTATCCATATCCACCTATGTTTGGGTGAAGAGAAACTTTCTAAACTTTTAGGGTTTTAAGAATAAGCTTTCCTTGCATGCTGAAGTGTTTAGAGTGAAATTTACTAATAGCTGCATCGTACTTTGAAATGATAAAAAAAAAAGATGGCTTTATAGATGGATAAAATAATAGATGAATAGAAATGGGATAATATAAATACAGTGAAATGTTAATTGTAGAATCCTGGTGTTGGGTATATGGATGTATGCAGTATGATTCTTTGTGTTTTAAATTTTTCAGAATAAAATCTTAAAAGGAAAAAAAAAAAAGAATAAGCTTTCCTTAAGTAATTTTTTAAATTACAAAAGGACAAAAAAATGAGGTCCTGTAAACTAGCACAGACCACACACGCTTCCCTCAAGTACTGGACATTCACCTTCACAAGGAGCTCAGTGAGATTCTCCTCCCCACTGTACACTGCTCCAGAGGCTCTCCCTTCTTGCCACTGGACATCTGTGGAGAAAGTTAGGGTCACTGGGTCAGTAAGCGGGAACCTCCAGGAAGAAAGTTAATAAAAATAGGGAGGAAAAAGAAACCTCTGGGTACAAAAGAAAAAAATTGTTGAGTGGAAACCCAGTGGTGTTCTTCTATTAAATCAAGAAAGAAAAAATTTTAATAAAGAGCTATCACAGAAAAATAAAGATGAAAGATCAACCATTATTGTCAACAGTGTGAAAAACACATGAATAACATCAAAGTATAATAAAGACAGTCCAACAATATGCTGTCCTCATCCTCAACTGCCTTCTAACAGCAGAAATATTTTCCTTTGTCTACGCTTAAATCTGTTCTCTGTATGGCTTTAGAGTGATCCCTTTCTGCAATAGCTTCCTCCTTATCTCCCTAAACAGTCATAGGAAGTATGGGAACTGTTACGACAGAGGTGACAGAAAAGCACAAGACAAAAGTGTGAAATTTCAGTACACTATCATCAGATCTGGAGCCAAGGGACAAACCACGATGAGATATAAACCATTAGCATCCTGGTCTCAGGGGAAACCCACACAGAACTAGGCACTTGCTTTCAGCAGCATATGTTGTAGCACTCAGGATGAGGAACACAGCCAACACTGGCAGAGGAGAAAGGCTGCTGACCAGAATGTAAGATCAGGTTTCCCTCTTCCTGTCCGAGGTGCTCTCCCAGAGACATTCTACATTATACCAACAAATCTGTTGATGTGAGTGTCTCAGGTCCTTCTGCTACAACATGGCTGTGCCCTACTGAAAATGGGTAATGAGAAAGCTATTACGGAAACACACGAACTAGAAAAACTGCATGTAGCCATGGACTCTCCAAAGCAAAGATCTTCAGCTCTAACAAGAGAGCAGAAGGCTGAACAGTAAATCCACAGACAAATCACTCATTCTCACAGCAATCTGCCAAGCTCTGGCTTGCTGCCACTTTGATTTTCATTCCTTTCCTTAGAGGACTCTGCTTTGTATCATGTATGTCTCCAGACTACTGTCGGCGACCTTTCAAAAACAGGATACGTGGTTTCATTTCCTCTTCTTTTGCTGGTGCCAGAGAGCATGGAAATAGACAGTGACTTAAAAATCAAAGGAAAGGAAATATGGTGGCAGCAACCAACGGTCATTCATAATCATGGAAACCTTTAATATACAGGTCTTAGAATGCAAACCCCTGCTTTATGTCATCTACATCCTAGACTATATCTAATTTTGCACCATCCAATGTCAAGAATTCAACACGTCAATCTGAAATCTTAAAAGGTATTTGTCAAAATGTAATGTAGTATCCTGGATTGAATCCTAGAATAGAAAAAAAGACAGTAGTAAAAAAACTGGCGATATAGAAATAAAATTTGTAGTTTAGTTAATATTACTGTACCAATGTAAATTTTTAATTTTGACAAATGTACCACAGTTATATAAAATGTTAACATCAAGTGAAGCTGGGTGAGGTACATATGGGAAAGCTTTATATCATCTTTGCTACTTTTCTTTTAATCTAAAATTATGCCGAACTGAAAAGCTTATTTTAAAAAAAATTTATAATATGATCTTAATCTGTAATAAACACGCGTGTGTTTGTGTTAGTAATAATAGCAATAATAGTTAACATTAATGGAGCACTTACTATATGTCAGGTAATATATAACATTTACGTGTATAATCTCATTTAACCCTCATAATCATCCTTTTGGGTAAGTACTGTTCTTAGCATCCCAATTGTAGAAATATAGAAACTGAGGCATATGGAAATAACTCATCCAAGGTCATACTTTAAATGGCAAAACCAGGATGTGAATCCAGACTGATTCCATGAGTTACACTCTTCAACATTAAGCTATATCTGTTGTATTTATCCTTCCCATATGTACTCACGCATATATGTGTATACACACAAAAAAAGCACTATTAACATTCTGACATATAGATAGATCTAGATGTAATCTATTCAGATAGATAGATATACACCTATATAGACAGACAGCTCTATCTTTATCTATATAGACATAGATACATGTCACTTGTATTTATCTTTTGATGATAGGTTTATAGTGACTTTTTATTTTCCTTTGTGCCTTTACACAGATTTCACAATTTCTACACGAATCTATCTTTCATTTATATTACATATATTCTCTTATTCTCTTTTTCTAAACACAAATTTATCTGTTTTATTATACTTACAAAAGAAAAGAGTCAACATCCACTGCCTTTTGAGATCTGCTTGCTTTATAGATGAGAGGTGAATTTAGACATAATTTTTAAAATATGAAATTCAGCCTTTCAAATAGGGAGTGGGCCTCCTGAACACATAAATACCAAGGATGAGTTATTCTTTTTTTTTTTTTTTTTTTTTTTTTTTTTTTTTTT